GAGAGAGAGAGAGAGAGAGAGAGAGAGAGAGAGAGAGAGAGAGAGAGAGAGAGAGAGAGAGAGAGAGAGAGAGAGAGAGAGAGAGAGAGAGAGAGAAGAAGAGAGAGAGAGAGAGAGAGAGAGAGGATTACCGAGTTACTCTCTCGTTGTAATGCCAACACCTGAAGGGATGTTTTAACCTGAAGGATGCAGCGGTTCAGAAAATTGAAATCATTAATATACGATTTATGCATAGACCATATTATGAGTTTGGACGGCAAATATGGGTTTGATGGAAGCCCTAGATAGGCAAGTACCCTTCCTATCATGGTAATAAGCCTCATTCTTAATAATTCTAGGAAGTGATTGTTCAAAAGACTTTTCTAGCTTTACTCTGGAAATTTATAGGAAAATCTTCAGGAACATGATGAAAAGTTCGTTAAAACACAGAAATATGGAAGGAACCAAGAAACAGATAGATTAAAGATAGGAATTGAGGATAAATATAGAAGGAAGAATTAAACAAATAATACTGAGATGATTAAAAAAACATTTGCCACATAAATTTTATAATTTTAACATATTCATTTTGAAGTTTTAACCAAAGGGTTTGCATATTACTCTGCCATTTGGGTTTCATGTAGTATTCCATCACTCTCCTAACCCACCGATGTCAACAACAACCTGGTGGAATACATCACTCCTAAACTCAAAATCCATTGAAACTTAACAGACTTTGAGCATAGAAACAATGCAACCAATCATCCCTTGTTGACATCTGACATTGGAGAAGTGCCATGAAACTGTAGGGAAACCAAATAACAGCATAGAATACTTGCCCTTAACCTGAAAGGCATGAAAAACGTATTGCACAATATGGAGAATACTTCGCAAGGTTCACAAACAGAGATATGTAGAGTTGTAAACTAACTGATGAAATTCTCAAACACGTGTGCATTTTCTGTTGCATCTGCATGAGCCTTGTTTGCTGTTTGTCATAGAAGAAATTAAAGATTCTACAACCCAGCAAACAAATGAGAAACTCTTTATTTCAAAGTGCAACCTTCCAAAAGTTTACTTGAGATTTTGAGTTTCTTGAACTGAATTCATGACCAAGGTCGGAAACTTACTAGATGCCTTGCAAATTTCCGATAAGGCTGCACAACTGGAAGCCCAAGAGGAGTGGTCCATCTCACTGGTTCATTTTCTGAAGCAATCACCTATTGAGTATCTAAAACTATTCAGCAAAAGAAACGAACTTACAATAAAATTAAGATAAAGTATGCTATAATCCAATGGATGATGTCAAATCATAGCCCATTGGACCACCAGCATCCCATGAAATGATTGAAAGTTGTAAGAGGATGTGACCTCAATGGTGAGGCCACAACTCCATCACCATCTATCATTTCATTGACAAGGATGACCCAAATGAACTATGAATATAACATATTCCATTGGATAACAATAACATCTCTTCTCAAATTAATTACAAAAAATGGGTGACATAAACAGCAACTACAGAACTGCGTTTTGAAGCCTTCTAAGTGGTTGACACAACTTATTTTGTAATATTCAGTCATAACAAAGGCAAAGTAATGATGGCACTTCACATGATGAATTAAGCAGGAAATGTGACCTTTGCACAGTCACCCAGCCAGCTCATAATATTTCGTGCTGCTTGAAACGTCTCCCCTAGAGCAGTCAATGTTACCTGAGAAATGCAACGTTATTTTCAAAATATTAGCATAACAAATGCAAGAATATTCTATGACAACTCATCGGGTTCATCATCATACAATGAAATGATGAAATATGATGGAAAGAGAGGGACACACCATTGGGATCATGTCCTGTTCTGGTGGGTCCCAATCTGTCCATCACCATTAATCACGTGCAGATGATGCCGACAGACTATAGTTTTCCATAGTCCACTAGATTGCAATATGCTTTATCAAATATGTAACAGTGTTATCAGAACCAGACTGAACAATGAATTGGCGTAGTGTTTGGTCCAGTTCAGATGGTGGTTTGACTGATCATCAAGTCTTTTGTGCTGTTGAGAACTGGTCAAAACTCTAAAATATAATACAAATTTTCAAAAAATTTACATGCTTTTTCATGATCCCATTTTTCACTGGACCACTTTGGCAATCCATCAGTTTGGGAGGCCACTCCGTTCTGGTTATCATAACAGGGTAATGGAAACACACATTCGCTAGTCTTTATGGGTAGATTACTTTGGCAGCATAGCAGGACGCTCTGAATAACTGTGAGTCATCTGTTATGTGGCCCCGCTCTTTTAGCCTCCTACAAATTTGGTCACGTGCACCTATGTAAGTGACGCCGTACACTGATGTCATCACTGTTTGCTTTACCAATTTCCGGTCCACCTGTGGGAACCAATCTATCAGATTAAATACATTGACCTTGAAATCCGATATGATTTACATGTTCATGATTGGGACTTGAGAACAGAAGCAAACACCTTGACGGAGACAACAAGACAGACAACAAGAAAACAATGTAAGAAAGAAAGAACGCATGCAGAGAGACCATGAGACATCCTCTGTGTATGCGAGTGTATGAAAGTGAAAGGGAGGAAGACAGAGAACAACCAACCGGTTCAAGAAATCCTGTATCTAAATTAAAAGGAGTTTGAATAATTTTTACGATAAAGTTTTCAAACGCACACACAGAGAGAAGATCATAGTGCAGACCAACTGACCTGGTCAACCAAGGCTCTAGCAAGAAAGGCGTTCGGATTGGAAGCAGGACCTTTCTCTGAGTCCCTTTTCATAATCTCCAGTACCCTTAATAGTACATGCAGAAGTATCAATTTAGCTAAAAAGAAAGAAAACGGAAAGTCCAGGAAATACCAAAACTAAGCATGATACTTGAATGCATAATTCACAAGCGACTGTCATGATAAAGCACCCACACAAGTACAATAATTTGTCCTTCCTGTGAATCAATTATCTTTAATATAAGCAGCATACCTGGCAGCTATACCAGAATAAACATCCGCTGGTTTCTCACCAGCAACTAAGTTGACGGCAGCTGCCCCCAACTGAATATAAGTATTGCACCAACATTAAAACCCAGGAAAAGAGAATTTCAATAAAAACAAAGTTCATAACGTATATTTGCTGTCATACAAAGGCCCAATATAAGGAAAAATATGCATTTCACAAAGCCAAAAGAAAGTTTGAGTAAATGAAAATAATAGTGAAACATAATAAGATATACTGAGAGACAAAACAAACCATGGTTTTCACATTGATGTTTGTGACAGTAATCAAGGTTCAATAAAAAGAATAATCAAATTTGTGAAAACGAGAATAAAAGTAAAATACACATATGATCAAATTGAATAGGAGAAAAAATGCATGCTTTTTTATCACTAGAGCCAGTTTTTGTCCAAGCGCTCCTGTTAGTCTAGTCCTTGAAGCCAAAATTATTACTTACACTGGGGGGATATTTTTAGATTTGGAATTTATGAAAGGTCAATAGACCTTGGCAAAACAACGACCGAAAAACAGAAAATGCAAATTCAATAACTATCAAATTCATGACAAAACAAACATAGGAGATCTAGTGGATGTCTAAGTTTTAGCTCTTAGATAACATTAACATTCAGGCAGGGCTGTAAATGATCAGATCTACAAAGCTCTAAAAAACATATTGCTCCCCTGAGTAATTTTCACACCTACATGGAAAAGTTATCTCATGCCACAAATCCACTACATAAATACTTCAAGAACACTCGCCAAACAGTGTGTACATTCCTGTGCCAGGAAAGATAGTCTACAAATACCAGGACTGAGGCGCCAAAAAAAGAGAGTTTCCTTTTTTTAATGCAAAAAATAATGAAGTTAGAAAAGGGCAGTTACATACTCGATCTCTTCCGAGAGCTGCATAGTGCTGCAAACCATTACATGAACCATCCTGGAGAAAAGCAAACGCGTCCTTAAAATCCTCCAATAAATGAAGATCACATAAGAAAGTGTCAAGACCTAAAGAAATTTGAAACAGCATTTAAAATGAATATTGCACAAAATAAAGTCTAATATTCATACTCGAAAAACTTATATATCGATCTGTGTATGTATGTCTGTGTGCCGTCCTAGGGCCTTATGGTTTACATGGACAACTTATCAAAAACGGCTACCAACCGCCAATAGAGTGCAGATATGAGTTATTATAGGTGAATAGATGCTACTTTATGTATTGCTGAGATTGAAGATGATGATTATCTTTTCACTACATGTGCTTTTGTGACTGAGATTTGGAAAGTTATCATGTGGTGGATCAACAGAAAAGCCATAGCCAGCTCAAACATCGAAAACCTCCGAATGGCTTGTCTCCCAAAAGAAATTCAATAACATGTTCCTCAATAACCTTTGAAGTGCTCCTCTCCCCTCTCTCGTTTGGTTAATATGGCAAGAAATGAAACGAATGCACATAAGAATGAGTGTCATGCTACCACCTATAGGACATTAAGAGAGAGAATGTGGAAATCACAAGATAGCATACAGGAAGAAAAGATAATTCCCCAAAGGAATGAAACAAAAAATTATATATAAAAACGGAACAAATTCTAGTAAGAGAGAGGAAATATAGTAAGGTCATTATGTATATAAAGTGAGAGAGAGACATAATGAGCTTCATTGTAAATATCATATCATACATAGAATACGTTCACATTATATTGTAACTTTTCATTAAAAAATAATACAATAGGTAAGGTTCCTGCATAAACCCCAATATATATATATATATATATATATATGGGTGTCGTTTACATACGATTGGGGTGTGGTTTGCATAAGGTTGCAACCTTAAACACTCAAATTAAGGCGCACCTCCAAATTCATCAAAGATGTGATTTTGGTGTAAAAACTTCTCAAGATGGCTTGAGAATCCATTTTCATATCTAACTATAAAATTTTAAACTCCAAAAATGGTTCAAATCATGTGAATCTATAAACACATGAAAATCTTGAAAGTGTACAGTCCAGATAATATGTCGTAAAATGCACTATTTTTGGACTCGAAATCTTTTTTTTTTTTTCATATTCATACATTTCAATGCCTAGATGATCAATTAGAGGAGTTTGTAACATAAAAACAACCTTTTCTGAGGGATTTTTGAGGTGCATCTTAATTCTACATTTTAGGGTTGCAACCTTTATATATATATATACCTAACAAACCGTGCCAAAATAACTGCTACAGTATTTTTTATTAGGCTTGGATCTCGACGGGATGGAGAGTGCATGAAAACTTTTGAATTTTATCATTTTCTCTATAAATCATTATTCATTGTCAATATTTGGGACATGCATATATTTAATTGTGGTGCACCTAATAAAATTGAAAAAAAATAATTACAATAAAATAAAACAGCAAAAATACCTCAGAAAATTCAGGGGTATTTTGGTCTTTTTTATTTAAAAAATTTTCTTGTTTTTAACAAATGCACTCCAATTAAATCTACCCACAACCAAAATTTCACATAAATGTGATTTGTATAAAAGATAATATAATTAAAAATATGAAATACACTCTCAACTGCCGATCAGGGTCGCAGTAATGTCACTGTTACGATACAACCTAACGATTTTGCTTATCTCAGGGTGGGTGTGTGGGTGGGTGGGTGGATGTGTGTGTGTGTGACATATAATGCATACTGCATACTTGTTTGTATGTGTGTGTGTATGTGTGTGTGTGTGTATAGGAAAAAGATCCTATCAGCCTAAGGGCTGAAGGAATTGTGTAAGCCCAACAGCTCAAATTGAATCTGCGCCGATCTAACAGTCACGACTGCATTTTGTATTTAAATTTTAATCTTTTTTTAACAAATTCAAATCACATGAAAGTTGGAGCGTTCACTCTTGTCATTAAGGCGCACCTAATAAAAATATTAAAAACGTAATTCGTAAGAAATAAATTGACCAAAATACCTCTAAAACTTTTAAGGGCATTTTGATCAATTTATTTTTAACGAATTATTTTTTAAAACTTTTAGTAGATTTGACTATTTTTCATGAGTAGACGCTCCAAAGTTCAAATGACTTGGATTTGCAGAAAAAAATTAAAATTAAAATACGAAATGCTGTGGATTGGCCCACATTCAATCTGAAACATTGGACGTTTACTATAGCTGTCAGCTAGTCGGCTGACCTCAGCTACTCCCATATTCATATCTTGTGTTTGTGTCTGTTTACACACACACGCACACACACACATATACATATATATACACATATTTATACACATAATTTTGAACTGGGCCTGAAGTTTCCATTTATATTCATCGCAACCATTCCATTATTCTCCGTGATGAAAATTATTTAAAATCATTAACCTGATGGACTGGCATGTGAGAGATAACATTCTCAGGAGTGGGACTTTTCAATGCTTCAAAAAGATTCATACATGCGGCTAAGCATTGGAAGGGATCTTCTGCATTTAACCACCACCGTTTTCCTTCAAGAGGTCTCTCTGCCGAATCAAATATATCATCTAAGTGGTTCTCGACAAATGCTAATCGACCATCATATGAGAGTTTATCTACACCACATGCATAAAGATTTGCGAGATGTATCTTCGACCAACGCAATCCACTCTTTCCCAACGGTCTTCCCTCAGCGAACTCTAAAATCCCTCGGCAAAGGTCTGACCCAAGATGGTTAAGGTGAGGATGCATAGGATAAGCTCGGCCACGGAAATCAAGATTATGGGGATAATAGAATCCTTCTTCTTCCCTCATTTTTCTAGCAACCTAAAGGATTCATAATACCAAATCGTTAGTTTACTCTTCGTACGCAAACCCAATTTATGTATCAAGAAATGCCCATCGTTCATCTTATATTCGGAGAAACTTACAGAAAGTTTAAGTTCCAAATCACATCGCTGAGAATGCCTCTCACTGTTGACCTTTTTTGCCTTTTTGACACTCCATCGCCACTTCCGAATTTCCATTTCATCCTCTGTGTCCGGTTTCTCAGGAAGGAGAACCTACAAGGCAATGGAAATAAAACATTTATAGAACAATATAAACCAAAGGCAAAACAAAAAAGAACACAGCAGACTCCTAAACAAGACAAGAATACAGAGTTAAAACAACCATTGAATGGAAAACTATGTCAAAATCACACGTTTAATAGCTCAACTTACATCTTCTCGGTCTACCAAACCTGCAATTCCACCTCCGCGAGCCCAAACTCTATTTACCACATCAAGAATTCTTTTATTCACCCTCCATTTGGTGCTACCCAGAGTATCCAGTGCCTAAACAATTTCAAAATCCAATATTAGGTCTAATGCATTTCGGTATTATAAGAGGCTGAGGAATAAAATCAAGCATGAAACTTTTTTTCTTTAATTTCTTTTTCTGAAGGTTAATTGAGTATGACCTTCAATTTAATTTCTGTAGCTCTGATAAGGATGCAGTTAGCATGCGGCCAGCCCACATATTGTAGAAATGAAGGCTTGGCAACAAATATATTTGATAATATAATTTGATCCTAATTTTTAGAGTATATATAATCTAAAAACATGGAGATCATGAATATGAAAAATTAATAAAAATTTGAAAACTAAAAATAATAATTATATTAAAAAAACATTTTGACCATTGGTTACAATTGATTTTAGATGGACCACCTATTTGCATCCATCTTTAAGATGGATGCTTTATACCTCTGGACCGCATATTGTAGAAATGCGGTCCAGCCCACATGAAACAATTGTTCCTATGATAAACTCTTTGATATTTCAATAGGTAAAAAGAAAAAGTAATCAGTTATAACTCTCTGATATATGTACCAGGTTTTCTTTTTCTTTACTAAATTTTTCGAAAGGTTGTTCCTTTCTTTGTACATTTCCTGTAATTGATGTTTTTTATCAACAAGAACAGTCAGGTAGCACAATAAATAACACAATTACAATGATGGAAGAAACCCCTGAGACTTGGCCTTGGCTTTGAAACCCCATTTCAAGCCAGATCTGCCAACCTAGCCTTCCTATGAACACACTGAAAGTGAATTACCACAAAGCAGGCTAACCCATGGATCTCAAGAATGTTCGCCATTCTCCAAGATCCACAGAAAGCTCTACAAGCTAACTTCTCAGGTTAAGAGACTCTCCTTCGATAAACATGGAGCAAGAACAGGTTGATAACAAAATTGGGAGACTAATAGGCATGGCTTAGGCTTTCTCGTTTATCAAGAGGGAAGAGCACTCAACCACAGTGACATGGTGTACCCTGTCCTGCTCATATAGATGCTAATGAGATGCCCCGGATCAGAACCACATGCATTTCCCAGAACCTGTTGAGCTGTCAACTATCACTGTTCAGAGAAGCAAATGCATGAATGCCTAGGGTAAGGGGCCCATGGCTGGGAGTATAGACATGTTGTATAATCCTATTTATCAGTGTAGTTCCTATAGCACCTATATGTTCTCAAACAAATAAAACCTGACAATTTTTCAATATCAAAGGTGCACTCAATCCACAATTGAATTTTGTAAGAGAAAGCTGAAAGGTAGAATGTCACTACTTAGAGAGCACACAATGATCAACAACATTAACATAGCTAAATTTATTGCCAAGACAGAACTATACAAACAACAACTAAGAATTTGACCTCAAAAACATTTTGCAACTGCTTCTGTGGAACATTCTTGACCGCCTCGCGTTGTTGCTTGGCCCCATGAATCCGCATTATCTGAGAAGGCAAAACCAAGTATCCTCCCTTGTCATACCTGTGAACATAAAGAAATCAGCTAAACCACCTGCTAACTCAGGTCAAGAAGCTAGAATTCAAGAAATTCAGTTCCTGTTTAGAATGTGGGCATAATTCCACTTCTTTCCCCAATTCAACTAGGACATGTTGAGACCAACCAAGCCCAGCTCCAAACATGCCAAGAGGAATTGCAGAAGTGGGTACCATTGAGAAGCTTCAAAAAGCATAATTTTAGTAAAATATATTTAAAAAAATCAAGTTCCCCGCTCTTAATTTGTTAGTGCTTGACAATTTGCAACGCTACGTCCTAGGCTCGATTGTTACCAAGGGTAAGGGCCCTCTCCCCATTGACTCACCAAAAAGAAAAAAAGTTCCCCATCTTCACATGGAAACAATGTTATAATCCTATGGACTATGATATATACTATGGTCCCTTGGGATAATCACCATGTGATGAAATGATTGACGGTGATGGAGAGAGTGGAACCTAACATGACACGTTCTAAGGGGTAGATCTTACTCTCTTCAGCACTGTCCATTTCATAAGACAGCGATCATCCCATTGGATTTACAAATTTACACTTTGTGAATGTACCATACCCTCTCCAAGGTTTTGGTCGTATCAGCATTGGAGTATAAGCTGTCACCATGTGCCTAGCCTGTCAGAAATAGACAAATTACATGGGAGACAACAAACAGTTTGAACACATCCAAACGCAGCTACATGTTTTCTCACAATAAATCCCAAATTCCAGGACTAATAAAATTCAATCTATGTTTTGTATATCTAATGTAGAAACAAGAAAGAAAAAAGAGAAAAAGAAGTTCCCAAAAGAAGAGGAAAACCCCAACTTACTGTTTTATCTAGCCCTTTATGCACGAGCGGATCACATTCTATGACTCCATATCTCCTGCAAAATTTCCTGGAGTGAAAATCAAGAACCTATTAAAACATAAATTTATTTGACAGATAGCTTTGAATGTTTGGCTGAAAACAATGAAATACATACTGCCGATCCTTTGTGAAAGTTCTGAACGTATGCCTAAATGCAGGCCTAATTTCAGGAGGGCCCTCTGCTTGTTGATCAACAGGAGGCTGTATATAAGCTGTTTTTATGAATAACTCTATAAGACGACTTCCCAACTGAAAAAATTAATGAAAATGAAGAATTCAGTTATATATAGGAGTTCCAATTTCAAATTTTCAAGGAAACATCTGAAAAGACAAATCAATGTAGGAGAAGAACAAACTAACCTTAGCATGAGCATCCTGACCCCAGGGCTTCACATCATCCCCTTGTCTGACTAGCTTTCTCACTTCACGCAGTTTTTGCATTTTCATTAAATTTGTGACTCGTTTCCTAAGATTTTCCTGCTCTTTGCTTAAACTCTCTGATTCCTCCCCAACCTTCTTCCCTCTTCGAGATTTCTTCTTAGTCTTTTCCAAAAAGTCATGTATTCTAGCCTGGAAGGGCAAGACATAATCATGTTGAGATAATAGTAAGAAGACAGGTAGTACTTTTACATGATCGGCAGCAGTAGCAGAAATTACTCAGACAGCCATTATACCCAGCAGATCAAAATCATGACATATAAAGGAGTATGGGATTTTCTAGGCAGCATCAACCAACTGAAAGAGTGTAAATAATATGTGCCAGCAGTGACCTGCAGAATTTCTAGCATTCCCGTACAGTCTGTGTTGCGGCAATCAGTGATATCCCTGAAGATTTTTGCCTAATGATGCTTAAGCCCATTTCCCCTACCAAAATGCTACCACCAACATCATGTATATTTGGTCTACTTGTCCATAAAGTTGTTCCAGCTAAACTCGAGTTATCGTTTTTCAATAGATGAGGCATATTTTATGGAAAGAACATCTTCTTCATCATCATCATCCAAGCCTTATCCCAATTATTGAGGGTCGGCTACATGAATCTAGTTTGTCCATTCTTCTCTATCAAGGGCCAATTTTATGGAAACTAAATAAGTTAGAGAAATTAACCTAGAGAACGAATATGCACTCATGACTGCGCTATGAATATGAAATACATATACTTTGAAAAGCAATGCAAAATAGACTAATCATCATCATCCAAGCCTTATCCCAATTACTTGGAGTCGGCTACATGAATCTTGTCCCTCTATGCTTCTCTATCAAGTCATACCCACTGTAAGACAAAAGTCACCATATCTTTTCTTAGTACTTCTATCCATGTCATTTTCGGCCTTCCCCTTGTCCTTTTAGACCCTTCTGCTTAAACCAAATCGCACCTCATAACCGATATTGTATTAGATCTACATTGTACATGGCCAGCCCATTTTTGTCTATTTCCCTCATTTTATCGCCTATTGGAGCCACACCTAAGTTCCTCATATGTATTCATTCCAAATTCTATCATTTATTGTCTTGCCACTCATCCATCTCAACATCCTCATCTCAACTACGTTCATCCAATGGATATGTTGTTTCTTGATTTCTCAGCATTCCGTCCCATTAAGCATGACTGGTCTTACAACCGTCCTATAGAATTTCCCCTTTAGTCTTAATAGTATGCGGCGATCACATAAAACTCCGGATGCACATCTCCACTTCGACCCAACTCTAATTCTATAGGTAACATCTTCCTCAATCTCTACATCCTCTTGGACTTTTGACCCTAGATATCAGAATCAATCTCTTTTAGGTATTTTTTGACCATCAATCTTACTACTTCATCGTTTCTACTCCTATGATTACTAAACTTGTGTTCCATATATCTTATCTTCGCATGGCTAATTTTAAAACCTTTAGATTCTAAAGCCTCCCTCCAACGTTCTAACTTTTCATTGACGCTGCCCCTAATCTCATTGATCAAAGCTATGTAATCCGCAAACAAATACAACAGGGTGTCTCATCTTGTAGGTGCCTGGTTAACTCATCCATAGCCAAGAGAATGATATATGGGCTCAACACTGACTTCTAATATAAGCCCATTGTCACTGAGAACTCACTTGTCTCTCCACTAGTTGTCCATACACTAGTCAACGTTCCCTTATATATATCTATGTCAATATAGCCTATAGTAATTCCTTTCTTTTCCAACACTCACCAAATTAAATCTTTAGGTACCTTATCATATATTTTCTCTAAATCAATAAAGACCATGTGGAGGTCTTTTTCATTCGCCCTAAACTTTTTAATCAATTGCTTAAGTAAAAAAATGGCTTTGATAGTTGACCTCCCTTGCATAAAACCGAATAGATTTTCTGATAGAAATGTTTCACGCCTTAATCGTTGCTCAACCAATCTCTCCATGGCTTCATAGTACGGCTCATAAATTTAAAGTTTGTACAATTCTGTATGTCCCATTTGTTCTTGTCAATAGGTACCACAGTACTTTTTCTCTAATTGCCTGACATTTTATTTGTTCTTAACACCTTATTGAATAGCTCGGTAAACCAGCATATGTCAATCTCCCCCATGCACTTCCAAACCTCTATAAGGATAACATCTGATTCTAAAGCCTTTTTTATTTTTCTTATTTTCATCTTTCTCAATGCTTCTTTCACTTCAGATACCCTAATCTTGTGAATATAACTATGACCTCCACCCTCATTTATGTCAAAGGTTCATCCTACCGTTGTGTTCCCATAGCATTCGTTACTTAAAAAAAAATTCAACTAAATTCTCCACCTTTCATTGAACTTGTCATCTTTTACCAGGATCCTATGATTCTCACTCTTAATACATCTTATATGATTTAGATCCCTACACCTCCTCTTTCTCATTTTTGCTAGTTTGAAAATGCCTTTTTCAATTCTCTTATCCCCATTTAATTATATTGATTATCATAAGCTTTTAGTTTAGCCTTATTTACTATTTTCTTAGCATTTTTCTTAACTTTTTTATATTCTTATAAGTTTTGAACATTTTTATTACATTTCCAAGCTTTACAACATGATTGTTTTTTGCTAATAACCTTCTGAACCTCCTCACACCATGACCAAGTTTCTTTGTCGAAATTCTTTTTCCTTTAGTTTCTTCTAAAACTTCTTTTACCACTTTCTTAATACAGTCGACCATCACATTCCATATAACATTAACTTCATGTTCAGATTTTCATTTTCCTTCTTTTACCAATTTATTCCTAAATAAGTCTATGTTCTCTTTTTTTTAAATTCCACAACCTAGTTCTTGGACATGTATTAGTTTCACTCTCTCTCTTCTATCTCTTTAGGCAAACATCCATAACCACAAGCCTAAGTTGTGTGGTCAAACTCTCTCCTGGGATAACCTTGCAGTATTTACATGATGGTCGATCTACCTTCTTGACTAGAAAGAAGTCTATTTGGCTCTTATATGACCCACTTCTATAAGTTAGTAATACATTGCAAAATTTATGACCATAAAATCCTTAGTTTTAGCATGCTCCCTCGACACTCCTGGGGGCTACCTGCAACAACTTCATCTAAACTTCCAAAAGCTCCATATTTTTAGAGTGATATATCTTACTTGGATTGCATTTTTTTTTTTTTTTGATAAAGTTAACGTTGCATTACTTGGAATAAGCGAGAATCCAAAAGATTCATATTGTATTACTTGTATTACTTGGATTGCATATTCAACTCCTTAAGAGGTTTTAGTTGATTCATTCCTTAACATGTACTGTTTGATTAGTTCTCCTCCTTTAATGCCTTATAGAAAACAGCCAAGAAACTTTCAAAGTGGTGAAAACGACTAAAAGCATCCATCCTTGTGTCCTAACTCACCATATGGATGCTTCTGTAGCTCAAGGCTTTGAGATCTATCGCATCGCTGACACATCCAAGTTTTCATGAATCCAAAGACGTTTTAGGGGTGAACGAAGACTCTGAAAACCTAATTAATGGGTGAAGGGAACAAGAAAATGGTCAAGGATTCAATAAAACCCCCCTTGAACTAATGTCACACACTTTGTCAAGTGTTTGCTAAGATTTGAATTTAGACATTGAGAGCTGCCATTGCACTTCAAGGTCTAGTTCAAGACCTAAAATGTTGACCATGATAAAGACACTCACTTATGGAAGATTAATAGGATTGGACCAGGGCCACACATAGCTCAAGTAAAAATGATTGAAGATATAGCCCCAAAAGCTGTAACAGCACTACACATGAGCTGGGGCGCTACTTAATTTTTCTGAGAAACGGATTTATCCATTTAGGGGTAAATTACATACTCAGTCAATGAACTAGCTACCTAAGCATATTTGCATCCAACTAAGGCAGGAGACGAGTCAATTCACCTAGTTTTTCAACTAAGCAACATACCCAATCTGAATCCCATTATGGGAAAGGAGAAACAAAAGAATCCGGAAAGAAGCAACTCATAAGACAAGAACCATGACCCCCAAATCATTATCAGTTGAAACATAAGTACCACATCAAAAAGGAGTACTACTACATTGTGGGAAAAATTACCAGACATGGAAGTTCCAGAATCTGTCAGAAACTCAGATGCCAAAATTTCATACATGAAAATCCCCAGCAGAAACATTCCAAGCAAACTCAAAAGGCACTAAAAATATACAACATATAGAGCACAGAAAGATACAAAACTACCAATGGGGTTATTTCTCATTCAATAGCATCTATTTTCACCTCTAATGCATTTCCACCTCTCAATAACAGCAAAGTTGAGTGTCATAGAAAGGTAAACCATTAGTATGCAAGCCAATTTATGAATCAATGGGCATCTCATTTCAACTCTGGTCCCATTTTGTGCTCCTTATAACAACCCCAAAATTCTAGACAATTGATCAAAAATTTAAGACCTTATTCCAATTCCAATCAATCGAAGTCATCAAAGTTCCACAAATCCAGAGTCAAGAAGGGTAGAAAGATGCAACAAATATAAACACAAAATCAATCACCTCATGCTCGACGGCCTCTCCAATTTGACAAGCAGCCTGAACAACACGAACACTTCCACAATCCTGACCAGTCATCATCAAACCCATCAACTTATGCATCACAATAACTGCCATTTTATCAGCGGTTAGTAGTCCAATATAGGGAGCATAACCGGTCTTAGCCCTCTTTGTTTCCTGTAAAGCTTGCTCTTCAGCAATGGCATCTCTCAGAGGTTCAAACCATCCAAGAAAGAGGGACTTCATATATGGCAAGTTAGGTGCCAATTTTTGCTCGCACATTTCTGAAATAAGCTCTCGATACTCTCTCACTGCTCGTTCCCAAGCCTCTGTCTCAATTTTAACCTGCCTTCTTCTTAGGCCATTGAACTTGGTCTTACTCATTTCTCTTGAACCCTTTTTCTTCAACTCTCCATCAATAGCCTCATCCGTAATGTTCTTTATGTGGGAATCAGAGGCATAGAAAGAGGACCAAGCTTGGGGCGTTTGAATGGGTAAAATCTCGCTTATTTGGCTTGCAATCCATGGAACGTTCACAGTGTCATCAATGGTGGAATCTAGAGTGAGAATAGGATCTTCTATTTTATCAAATAATTGAGGACATTGACGAGTACCCAATTGAGAAAAGCTTATTTGGAAGACTCTATTAATGGAGGAGGGCTCAAATTCAGGTGAAGAAGAAGGAGGAGAAGAAGAAGAAGAGGAGAAAATTGTGCTGCTCTGCTTGGGCATCGAGACTCGATATGGGAATAAGATGGGTTTCGTCATCGAATTTCGAAGGGATGAGAGATGCCATGCTGAACTTCTCCACATTTCTTGGCTTAGTCCAAATGGACTTGAAGTGAGAGAAGCTGCAGAAGCCAGCAGTGAAACTCTGAAAATGACCACGACTCTGGAACTCAAAAGACGTTGGTCTCCAACAAATGGTCTTTTTGGGCTTTCAGTAATTCCTCTCTCTCTCTGAATTGCAGAAGCCAGTTATGAAATGCTGGGTTTTAACCTTGTCCAAACTGGGGCGACATCAAAATGGCTCTTTGCAGCTCAGGAACTCTCTCTCTGTCACCGAATAACTATTTGCAATGGAGAGGCTCTCTCTCTCTGTATGTGTGAAGTAAAACCCAGAAAAATCTGTTAAACCTCACATTCTCTCTCTAAAATTTATCTCTCTAAAATTCTGAAACCACACTTAAACCTCTCTTCCTCTCTCTCTCTCTCCCTTCGCGTTCACGTAAGGGGATGAGATAAATAATCAAGGATACGATATTATTGTGTAGGTTACCGATTCGGAGTATCAATCTAATGCCTCTTCCTATGAGATATTTCATGCATCCAACGGCTGAATTCTATCTCTGAAATATATTGGCAAAGCTTATGAGGGCGAAAGGTCCCTTACTTACATCAAGGGGTTGTATGCTGTTTGGATACATGAAAATATATTGTTGATTGATTGGGTAGTATTTAGATGCAACTTGATAAATACATTGCTACTATTTGGCTATATCCGGAAGAAATATGGAAAATGTATTATCAACATTTTACTAGTACTTGCCTATAAACTATCTTTTTTTTCTTCTTTTTTTTTGTCACAAAATTTCATTGAAATGTAAAATTAAAGTTATCATCACACCATTTTAAAAAGATTTTCTAATAATAACATCATCATAATTCTAAAAATATTTTTTAATAATAGTTTGTACCATGCTAAAGTCATGATACACCATTTCCTACTTATTTTGCATGCTTTTGTCATTTACATGGAATCATACGTCTTCTACGTCTTTTAACAGACTTTGGTTTCAACATGATAAATCATTGGAATAAGATGATTCGAATAACATGATTTTGTTGTAATAAGTCTTATGTTTATTTATTTTTTATAAAAAATTTTCAAAAGTCTCTCTATATAATTTTAAATAAACAATAAATTTATGATAACAAATTCAAAATCTTTACAGTGTAAGTTCGAAAATGGGAAGAAGTTTGATGAATAAACTACAACGTTTGGTAATTGCAATAAAAAAATTTCAGCCATTGGAGGAGACTAAAGAGGTATCTTATTTTAGTTGAGCTTTTACAAATATATTATGAGGATTATGTTGTGTGAAATTTTTTATTATGATTATGTAGAGCTTTACCGGATACTCCTGCTTCTCTCTGCAGGTTGGCGAGAGGGAACACTTTATGCACACGAGTGGGAGGGAGCACCTAGGGAGAATAGGACTTACGAGAGAAGCGTGGCTTTGGTAAGTTACTCATGTTTGAGAGAGGAAAGTGGCCCTTTGGCATTTTTTTTAAGCAGGGATAGACAAAGAGACGCACGACAAAGATTTACCAAATATTACCCTGATTTTCTAAATATTACCCATAAAAGATTACCCTGATTTACTAGAGATTACTCGTTATGTGTAATAGATCGTTACGTGTAATAGATTTTTCACCTTTCCGACGCGTAATGGGTTTGTTGATTTTTGAGAAATCACAGGAAATCTCTTTCTATTTCCCTACTATTAAAGTATACCCAAACAGTATAAATGTCATATTTTCTTGTAATCTGCGCTCATGTAATAGATTTGCAGGTACCAAAGCCCTATAGACTTTCATCGCATGACGCGTATAATCACACATTTAGGAATTCGAAATTTTTTTTAATAATAACGATTATATATTTACGGTTTAGGAAAATTGTTCCATGTGTGGTTGGACATTATTTCTATTATATTTATGATTTAGGAAAATTGTTCCATGTCTGGTTGGACATCATTTCTATAATATGCGGTCCAGAAGTATAAAGCATCCATCTTAGAGATGGATGCAAATAGGTGGTCCATCTGAAAACAAGTATAACCAACTGTTTAAATTTTTTTTTAATGTATTTATTATTTTAGTTTTCAAATTATTTATTTCATATTTGTGATATCCATATTAAATATTATACATCATCTAAAAATTAGGATCAAATTATATTTAAAAAATATATTTATTGCCAAGCTCGTATTTCTATAATATGCGGGTTGGCCGCATTTCTACAATATGTGAGCTGACCACATAGGAACCGTGTTCTTATGTTTAATATAAGGAGGTCACAATTACTTACAATATCCTACGTGAAATCCAATAGCTCAGGTGTACCATAAAGTTTGAATTTTTTTTTTGAAGTTTTAGCCTAGTTAATGGAATAAATGAAGCCATCTAATTTTATGTCTAATAATCAAGATTACTTGTGACCACCTTGTATCAAAGATAAATGACCTCATTATACATTTTTTATTAATAATATGCTAAGATTAGAACGATCATTCAAGAGGAGGAGAGAAGGGAGATTAGATTTTCCTTTATTACTAAAATATGAGAGGGACCTATGACATAAATTCATTAGGACAAGTTTGGATATACATATTATCCTTGATAATTTACTACTTCAATAAAATTAATTTTGGAGTGGTTTGGTTGATTACATATAATATAGTGAATAAGTTAAAATAAGAGGTGTTACCCGCCTTTTTCTTTGAAATTCAAATTAAGAAAGGTGTTACAGGGCTCAAATTCAATCCCAATGGTTTATTTCACTAGTTTACCAGTAAAATTTGAACGCATGCAGGCGTCTTGCTTCATTTTAGAAGGCATGAAAGCTAAAGAAACCCTAGCTAGCTCCATTTGTCAAATATGAAACCATGCGATTTCCTCAGATTAATTGGAGATTATACTCCTCAGATTAATATGAAACCATGAAAGTTTCTCAAATATATTATACTCCATTTGTCAAATTTTCAATTTAAGAAACGTATAAACTCTAACACAGAGTATAATCTCTAACATTGAAAATTATATTTATATATATGGGATTGTATACTATAACATGGAGGATAATCTCTAACATTGAAATATATATATATATATATATATATATATATGGGATTGTATACTATAAGGCTATTTATCTCTGTTATAAGGATGTCACAATTTGCTGTTAACCATTAGATGTCAAATTGGATGGTTTCGTGTGTATCACAAAGTTGAAAAATTATTTTTAAACTTTAAGTTTAATTTATGATACTCACAACCAGTTGATTTGAAATATGATGGATAATAATAATTATGACCTCCTTACATTAAAAGTAAATAATTTCTCCGCACACTTTTCATATATATAGCCGTAAAAAGCCATGCTAGTTTTTGCATTCATCCCATAGAAATATGTTTTCATCTATATGATCCTAGAGAATCTCTGGTCTTGAACTTGATAACTATCCAATCGGTAGTTGGACGGTGATGGAAACTAAATGACCACGGTGGTGTTATGATACTAAATATGTGGATGGTGGAAACCACTCTTTGGTTGCAAGTGTCAGATCCATCCAATCAATGGATTGAAGGCGATAGGTTTAAAAAAGGAAGTGACTCCAAAAAACATGACCAAAGTGGTATGTCCTCTTCCTTTATCAACATTCACGAATTTAGTGGACAATGATGTTAGAATTCGTGGGAGCGTAGACATGGGAGCATATAATAGAGAAGAAGAAGAGAGAACATAACATTTATGTAATTCAGGCCAAAGCCTTACGTCCGCAGATCTAAAGCCCCAATCGGCTATATCTTCACTATTTTGGATGAATGTTTACATCAATGAGTACCTCTATATATAGAGGACAATCACACAATTAGATGAGATAAATATGGTATGATAACTTGATGACCAAGTAACTTGGTCTCTATCTTCTAGAAACCTAACCTTATCAAGAGATATAGACTCATACATCCATAATGATGTATATCAATTTGGATCCTAGATATCCATTATCACTCGAGTCGAAAAGGCAAATAAGTGTTTTCATTCAAAGAACAACTAATACAAAATTTATTGACAGAATTCAAATCAAACGTTTTATTGGGCAATGAACCAAAACTAAATAAAGTATCTAATTTAGTTGCATTTGGATGACCAAGTCTTCGATGCCACATATTTCATTGTTTATTGGAAATAGAAAAATCAGAATTTGATGGAGAAAATAAAAAAGCATCATGGTTTGGTTTATTAAACTCCAAGGCAGACAAACGACCAATTCTACGCCCATTCCCTGTCACTCTCCCAGTCCGTTGGTCCTGTATTAAATAACCATCACAAAAAAATTGGTTGGCCCACAGAGAATAGATTAGCAGTTAATTTAAGAACGAAGAGAACATTATGTAAATGAAAAAATGTACCACAGGAGATAGAAAGTGAAATATTATTAGTACCAATAATATTCAGTTTCTCCCTATTAGTGGTGAGAATCTGACTACTACCTTGGTATGGTTTAGTAGATGTTGAACTTGTGTGCACTCCAATCATATGATTAGAGGCACCAAAGTCAATAAACCAAAGGGGATTTACACTAAGGGATAGGTGAGAGTTCATACCAGATAAGCCCATAGCAGAGAAAACAGAAGAGGTAGCCATAGATATAAAGTTTTGTACCAACTATCGAATATCATCTGATGTCTGCGACATTGTCATGGATAGTACTGGATGGATGAGTCTCTACCTTTAGTCCCTTAAAAGCATCATTAGCACAAAAGCATCATCAGCAGCTTGGTATGCCCTGTAAAAAGGTTTTCGTATATCGAATGCCCAGTTGCCTCGTCGAGAAGAATTGCAACATTCTGTGATAATATGCCCAACACGTTTACAATAAGTATAAAAATTTTTCTTCTTACACTGGGATGCTATATGACCATATTCTTTACACTCATAACATTACAGCAAATATGGATCCTTTTGTAATGGTGTTCTTCTAGCCCTTTGAGCTACAAGTACAGACTCTATACTCTTGTGGCTTGGGTCATGATTCTTGTTTCCTCACGAAGTTATTTACCGAGAATAGCATCCATATTTGCTAATGTTTTGCGACTCAAAATATTGGCTCGAATAATCTCATAGTCTGAGGGGAATTTCATCAAAAACTACATCACATTCCTATCACCATTTATCTCAATTAAGCTCTTAATGCAACATGCACTAGTGAGAGCCTTCAAGTTGACAAATTCATATTTTGTCCACAAGTTCATGAAACCTGCATGATATTCTTGAATAGTTTTCTCTCCTTGGCTATAAGAAAATTTGTCATACTCGATTTGGAAGCATCTTGCAAGATTTGACTGCTAATAAACTTTTCCCAAATATTTCTACATTTCTTTCACGGTACGGAAGCCTGTCATTAGCTTCCAATATCCAGATCTACAGAGTTGAGGATCCATGAGATAATTTTTGTAATGTTGATCTTCCATTATTTGATATCTTTATTATTAGATGTAGTCGGTTCAAGTGCAGTGCCATCAACATACGTCCACAAATATTTCCCTTCAACAAAAAATTGAAAATGGAATCGCCAATCGGGAAAGTTTTTCCCATCAAGTTTGATAGCCAATACATCGCCTTTTTCAGAAGCCATATGCAAATTGTAAAATTATATCAGAACTCAAGAGTTTTGATATAATATGGTCCCTTTGGACCACCCTTTCCCCCCCCTTTTTTTTTTCTTCAAAAATAAATAAATAAAGAGATTCGATGAAGTTCCATCTCTCTGCGTTGTTCAGGGGTCAATCCATCTTTTTTGCCTTTGACTTGAGGCTTCCTGACCTGAGCCCTCTCTCTATCTTTCTCTCTTTTGCCCTTTCTCTATCAAACCCTAGGCTCTCTCTCTTCTAGTTGTTCTATTGGGGTGCAAAATACTGAGCACCATGGAAGGTCGCTGCTCTTAGAAGGTTTATGGGTTCAAGATCGACTGAGAAGGAGCTTAGTGTGCAATTTCAATTTCTTTGAGTCTTTAATAGAAAGAGCTTAGGTGCTTGTTTTTTTCCCCAGATCTTTGAAGTTAAGGGGTTTGGAAACATGAAAACCAAGAGGGAAATCGGTCAATCTCATTACTTGTGGAATCACTGGATTTTTAGAGAGAGGAATCACTGGATTCTTAGAAAGAGAGAACACATTCACTACATTGAAAGAATAAAAGAAAACACGATATTTACGTGGTTCAGGCCAAAGCCTTATGTCTACGGATCCAAAGCCCCAACCGGCTACATCTTCACTATTTTGGATGAATGTTTACATCAACGAGTACCTCTATATATAAAGGATAATCACACAATTAGAGAAGATAAATATAGTATGATAACTTGATGACTAAGCAATTTGATCTTTATCTTTAAGATACCTAATATTATCAAGAGATATATACCCATACATCTATAATGATGTTTATCAATATGAATCCTAGATATCCATTATCCCAACACTCCCCCTAAAACTCAAGATGCATTGACACAAAGCAGCTGGAATTTGAACAATACTAAGTTGTCAAAAAAAACGAGTAGTGATCAAATCCATGATAAATTTCACAGGTTACCATGATTTTCCAAGAAACAACATTTCTTAGATAGACTCTCTACTTTCTTCTAGAGATTTTCTCTCTCTAGGTTCTTTCAAGAAACAACATTTCTTAGGCTCTCTACTTCTTCTAAAGAATTTCTCTCTCTAAGGTTTTTTTCTCTGAAGATCTTCTCTCTCAGAGGCTTCTTTTCTTTTTAAAGGTTTTCTCTCTCTAAAAGAAAATATTCTTTCTTTCTCTTCTTCGGAACATCCAGGATCGAATAACGAAAAACTCGACTATCATCACACATGATGGAGCAATGAAAAACTCAATCATCAAATATGATTGAGTAATGAAAAACTCAATCATCATTCAACAAGATTGAGTAACAGAACACTCGATCATTGAAAAATAGGCATCTGAAGCAGACATGATCGACTAAACTTGATTATTACACATGATGGAGTAATGGAAAACTTCATCATCAAATGAGATCACATAACAAAAAACATGATCATCAACCATGATCGATAAATTCAATCATCAATCTGGATCACGTAACGAAAAACATGATCATCAAACATGATGACGTAATGGAAAACATGATCATCAACCAAGATCGAGAAATTCACTCATCTTAGGTCACTCTCTTCATCGTTTCGATAATTTGATCATCTTTGGTCTCTCTCTACATAGTTTCAATCCTCTTATTCGAACCCTTGCATCACACGCCAATGGCACACTGACTGTTCGGTGCCTCACGACAAAATTGGTGCCTCACGATCCAATAATAGTTTCCTTCTCAAATCCTTTTGCAATACCTATTTCAAGAGAAATTGTGTCCTCCAAATTGCAAAAACCTTTTGCACCATGCAAGAGAAAACGTGGTCTCAAAATTGCAAAAACCTTTTGCATCATTCAAGAGAAATCCATGAGCCAAAAACAAAACTCACGGCAAAAGCAAAAACTCACGGAACATTCACCGTGGCCATGCACCGTGACCTTGATGCAACCGGATTTATTACTTGTTGTATTTTATGTTTCGAAAGGGTCTTTCAAAAAAATGAACGTACGATGGCCACTGAACCCTTGGTTTCAACTCGTTGACGAATCCACATGACATGGATTCGCAACCCCTGTTGAGCAATAAATCGTTACTGATAGATCTGTCTGGCTCTGATATCTTGCTCTGATACCATGTTAGAATTCGTGAGAGCATAGACGTGGGAGCATAGAATGGAATGGAGAGATAAGAAAAAGATAGAACACAACATTTACATAGTTTAGGCCAAAGCCTTGTAACTACAGATCCAAAGCCCTAACCGGCTACATCTTCACTATTTTGGATGAACGTTTACATCAAGAGTACCTCTCTATATAAAGAACAATCACACAATTAGAGGAGATAAATATGATATGATAACTTGATGACCAAGTAATTGGTTTTTATCTTCTAGATACCTAACCTTATCAAGAGATATATACCCATAATGTATATCAATATGAATCCTAGATATCCATTATCCCAACAAATGATAAAAACATGATGGTAGCTTTTCTATGTAGTTCATATTATATTTTGGGAAGAGTTTTTATACTTCCTCTACTGTATAGAAAATATATACTTCCCCCCCTAAATCCAGCCGTCTAATTTTGATCAAGTGAGCCATTGACCATTTGATCTAGATACAATGGCTCAAAATATTTTATTTTTAATTTTGTTTCTACAAATTATATGAATATGAAATTTGTGTACATGCCATCATCTCAATGCGGCGCACCTAAAAACAATATTAAAAAATTATTTTCAAAAAAATATAATAACCAAGAGTGGTTGTATATAATAAGATCATTTACCTTTGGTACAATGAGGTCACAATTACTTATAACCATCCGATGTGAAATATGATAGCTTGGGTGTGTCACGAAGTTCAAGACAATTTGTTTTGAACTTTGAGCTTGGTCAATAGAATAAATGCAGCCACCCAATTTCACATCCAATGGTCAAGATTAATTGTGATCACCTTGTACTAAAAGTAAATGGTTTCATTATATATTGTCCCTAACCAAAATACCCCTAAAACTTCTAGGGGCATTTTGGTTATGTTATTTTATTGGGAATATTTTGTTTATAATTTTTAGAGCTGTGAGTTTAAGAGAGAGTGAATGCCCAAATTTTAGAGTTAAAATGTTTTGTAAAAATTAAAAATAAAAATACAATCGTATAGATGCGTGTCATTGTTGTTGAGGCCATCTCAACTATCCATTCAAAATGGACAGTTGGATAGGGGGAAGTATATACGTTTTATACAATAGGGGAAATATAGAAACCTTGCCTTTATATTATTCCTGTTATCTCCAATGTTAGTTTAGTGACAATATTTTTACTTTATTACAATGGGTTCTAATGTTGGTAATAAATATGACAGTATTTTGGTAAAATCACGAGGAATGATTTTGTTCAAATGGAAAGCACAAAGGGAAGATCCAATAGGATATGAATTGAAGTAGTTAGTATAAATATGGTGACTTATGGTCTAACTAAGGGTATAGCCATAATTTGTGTAAGAGACCCCAAATAGAGGGGATAAGGCTCAGATGATGATAATGACGATGCTCTGTAAAATCAATTTATCATGACATTTTAATGCTTCTTATTATTATTACAATGAATTACTGTTGAAAATAATATTTGGGATTGTATATATTACTATTGACTTTTGATATAAGGAAGTTACAAATCATCTTTAGTCATTAGATGTGAAATTAGACATCTTGAAATGTATCTTCAAGTTCGAAAAGTTTCTTTTGGACCTTAGGCACTGTCAATTGCGTACTAAACCCAACTATTTGATTTTATATGTAATAAGTTGGGTAATTGTAATGCTAATGTACCAAAGATAAATAGTCTAATATATATATATATATTTTAATAGTTTATATAAGATTGCAACCTTAGACAATCCAAGTAAGATGCATTTTCAAATTTTATCATAACATGTAATTTTGGTGTAAAAAATTCTTAGGATTATCTTAAAATCTATTTTCATCCCTAATTATAAAATTTTAAAATCCAAAATGGTGAAAATAAAATAACATATGAAAATCTTGAAAATGAACGGCTTAGATAATGTGTTGCAAGATGCACTATTTTTGAGACTCAAAATCTTTTTATTTATTTATTTATATTCATACATCTCGTTGTTGAGACGATTAATTAGAAAGTTTTTCAACATTAAAACAACCTCTTCAAATGGATTTTTGAGATACATATTTAATTCTACATTTTAATATTGCAACCTTATACAAACTTTTTCTATTTTTAAATAGATAGCAAATATGTAAATAAAAGCCAATAAGATAATTGTGAATAGACAATATGCTCACTCGGGAGCATGAAATCTTATCATTCGGCAAGACCACGTCTCCACACGAGAAAGGAACCAAGAACCTGGGTGTTTAACCCAAGCATCGGATTAACCCGCGGGTGCACGTAAAAGTTCAGAATATCCTTGTCACTCATTCCACTCTGAATCGTTCATTCCTTACTCAAAAGCGCGCCTTATCCAACATTCGCAGCAAACGCAGGTCTTCTCCTCGCTCCTAATCTAAAGGTGCCCTAATTCTCTCTCTTCTTCTCTCTTATCTTTTCTGTTATATAGTTAGCTTTTCCTGGTAATTTTATCTACTTTAGTAGGGAGAGAGAGAGAATTTGAGTAATTAAATTTTGGGTATTATGGTGTCAGTATCAAACTGTGAAATATTGGTTTTGAATTTCTGCAAATGTTATTTCATCCCTTGTTGGCCTGTGATTTCACAGGTTTATGTAAATTTTTTTGAAATGATATTCATTTTACTTTCCCATTGTTCTTTTCATTTCAAATGAGCTGAAATATTTTGGATAACAGGGAGTTATATGGAAAATTGGGTTCTTTGAAGGCGCAGAAATTGGTTTAATTACTTCTAACTGTCTTGATTCGGGGAATTACTAGAATTTCTTTTCGTGTTGTAATAATAATAAAAAAAATCCGTTATGTGCTTCCAATTTATTCGTGTATGAGATGAAAATTAAGTATTTGAGTTCCTACAATGGCATTGTTTCAAAACGCAAAAATGCAGAGATGGAACAGTTCTTCTCACTTATGTCTTTGAAGAAGGGATTTTTATGTTATCAGGCTTCTTTCTCTCTATCATTTATCAATTCATCTCCCTTCTGTTTGTTCAATTTTTCATCAATTTTGTTTGTTTCTCGGCTCGGGCTCAGGGACAGGCTCAGGCTCAGGCTCAGGCTCAGGCTCAGGCTCAGGCTCGGTATCTGTGCCCTGCCCGATACAAGCAACTCAGGCAAGTCTGAGTGGACTCACTGAACAAGCCACAATCAGAACTAAAAATTTGGAAAAAAAAATACAAAAAATTGTTCAAGATAAAAAAAGGTAAAAAGAAAACTGTAAACAACCTTTAAAAGTTCAAACAATATGCAAAAATAAAAAGGATAGATTTATAAAAATTTGATAGGGGCTGTCACTTGATGTGATGGTAAAAGGCTTGGGTAGCTAGCGCAAGAGCGCATGTTCGAGTCCTGAGAGCAGCCACTTGGTGCATAAGCCAAAGGTTAGGACCGTTTCCAGCCCACCCCTCCCGGGACCTTGCTTAGGCGGAACCAGCACCGGGTTAGGGTCCTTTATTTAGAAAAATTTGATTCATAGCAAGAAGCAGAAAGTATAAAACTAGGACATATGACAAGAAAGATTCACAAATCATAATGAAAAAATACAAAATATTTTTACATTAATTTTACAAACGAACATAACTTTCATTATTTTTAATAAATTTTTTATTTTACCTGAGTTTGTACACAGCAAGGGGCTGAGTCCAAGTGGACTTGGCCTAACTTTAAAACCTTGATTTCTGTGAAAACTTACTGCTTGTTATGTGTAAGACATCAGAATATGTTGTTTTGAGTTATCTAAAGAACACTTACTGAAAAACATGACATTCTTTGAAAGATGAAATGCAAGAACCTGTTGCTGTGTCAAATGATTTTGATGTTTGGACATTATCAAAGTCATTAGCTTATTTTTTCTTCTTGCTAGCTAAAAGTATCAAGTCAGATTTATGAGCAGTATTTTGAATATAATATGACTTGAATATCTCATTTACTGCAGGGTGAACACTTCTCCAGCCATGAATCTCAAATCCCCTAATATTTTTGTTTTGACTGGGAACATTGGTCACTCTTTAAACTTGCTTCAATTCTGTTTCGCTAATGTGTTCTTCCTCACAATAAACACTATCTATATGCTCCTTATGATAAAATTGTTGAATATTTTAAGCTTTGGTAAAATCTATATGGGTTAATCCAAAATTTCGTTGGAGGCCAGGATTGACTATGGCCTCCTTTACATTCTCTTCTGGTTCTGATCTTCACGAACTGAGGCCACAACATGCTTTTGGTGACATCAATCACTCTCTTAACCGATATTCATTTTTCGGCTGTTCCTCTGGTTATTCTCTACATTTATCGGAGTTATCCTCCCACCTTTCTTCCCACTCGAATGCTAGTTGCAGAAATTTTAGTAATAGCAAGATGATTAAGTGGCATACAGTAATAGGGAAAATTGGGTTTCATGCATGCTCGAAACAAAGGGGACTACAGAAAATTCATGTATATAGAAGTCCATGCTCTCGACCTCATGACTTTGTAGAAATGATGGGTTCATTGAAAAAAATCAGTCTTTACAATCAAGTAAGGCTCTCAGATTCTGGTGGATATGAATTTTCTTGTTCAGTCATTCATTTGATTGATAACCATGAAGTGTCTGAATTAGATAACGTGAAAACTGCAGTAGAAGCTGAATGTAGTAAGACTTTGGCTTTAGAGAATGCAACTCATACTGAATATCCAGGAATAGTAAGGAATAGTGGGAGGAAACTTTGGAAGCGTTTGAGAGGCTTTAAGAGACCAATTGAGAGTGAGGTTTCAGCAAGAAGACTGGCAAAAACTGAACAATGTCCTTCCCTTGATAGAAAAGATGGGGACTCGCTTTCTTCTACCGAAAGTGAATTAGAAGCAAAGCTCTCCACGCTGGAGCCCCTTTCCAGCATTGAAAACTGCAACAATTATTTGAAATTGCTTGAGAAAAGTAATGATGCAAAGGCATTGCAATTATTTGAATGGATGAAAAGTAATGGGAAATTGGACAGAAACCCAACTGCTTACAACTTAGCTCTAAGAGTACTAAGCAGGAAAGAAGACTGGAAAGCTTCAGAAGAATTGCTTCGAGAGATGCCCACTGTCTCAAATTGCAGTCCAAGTTCTCAAATGTTTAACACACTAATATATGTGTGTTCTAAAAGGGAGCTTGTCGGATGGGGAACAAAGTGGTTTCGAATGATGCTATATTGTGGGGTGAAACCAAATCAAGCAACTATTGGCATGCTAATGAGCCTCTATCAGAAGGGTGGTAATCTTGAGGAAGCTGAGTTCACCTTAGGCCAAATGAGGACCCATGGTCTACACTGTTGTGTTGCATACTCAGCAATGATGACTATATACACACGCTTGGGATTATATGAGAAATCAGAAGAGATCCTTAAAACTATGAGAGAAGATAGAGTACCCCCCAATTTGGAAAACTGGCTTGTACAGCTAAATGTTTATAGCCAGCAAGGGAAATTGGAGGAGGCTGAATTGGTTTTGCTGTCTATGAAGAGATCTGGAATTTCCCCAAACATTATTGCATATAATACTTTAATAACTGGGTATGGGAAGATGGGAAAAACAGAAGCTTCTAGACGTGTATTCCGGGATTTATGTAACAATGGTTTTGAACCTGATGAAACCACTTATAGGTCTATGATCGAGGGCTATGGTAGAGCAGATGAATACAAAGAGGCAATATGGTACTATCAAGAACTAAAGCATAAAGGATTTTGTCCAAACTCCTCAAATTTCTTCACCGTAATAAACTTACAAGGTAAGCACATGGATGATGAGGGGACTGTTCAAACTCTCAAGGACATGAGAGAAATGGGGGGTCAGTATTCCTCTATCCTTGGCAGTCTTTTGCGAGCTTATGAAAGGGTGGAGAGGGTGGACAAAGTTCCTCTTATCTTGAAGGCTTCCTTCTATGAAAGTCTGTTGAGTGACCCAACTTCTTGCTCTATTTTAGCTTTGGCATACGTTAAGCATGGATTATTGGATGATGCTTTGGCGGTTTTGTGGGAGAAGAAGTGGTCTGACCCCATTTTTGAGGACAACTTATGCCATTTATTGATATGCACCTGCAAAGAGGAAAGGTGCTTCGAGAATGCTGTTAAAATTTTCACTCAAATGCCCAAAACTTACACCAACCCGAACATGCACATCACAAGCACAATGATTGATATTTACAGTGGCATGGGCCTTTTCAAAAAGGCCGAAGACCTCTACCATAGTTTAAAAGCTTCGGGGAAATCCTTGGATTTGGTTGGGTATAGCATAGTTGTACGCATGTATATGAAATATGGATATTTAACAGATGCTTGCTTGGTGTTAGAAATAATGGAAAAACAAAAGAATATCTCTCCTGACATTTATCTTTACTTTGACATGCTTCGGATTTATCAGCAAGGTGCCATGCTAGACAAGTTGGCCGATGTTTACTATCGCATGCTAAAGAGTGGAATAGTTTGGGATGAGCAAGTGTATAACTGTGTCATTAACTGTTGTGGCCATGCCATACCTGTCGATGAACTATCTCGACTATTTAGAAAGATGACTGCAGCAGGGTTTGCTGCTAATACCAATTCCTTCAACGTTTTGATTGATGTTTATACAAAAGCTGGGCTTTTCAAGAGGGCTAGAAAGGTTTTATGGATGGCTCGAAGGAGGAAAATGGTTGATGCTATTTCTTACAATACCATCATAACAGCATATGGAAAAGATAAGCAATTTAGGAGGATGAAATCGGCTTCTAAGCAAATGCAGTATGCAGGTTTTCCTGTTTCTCTTGCAGCTTACAATGCTATGCTTGATGCATATGGAAAAGGAGGAGAAATTGATAAATTTAGGGAAGTTTTGGAGCAGATGAAAGAAGCAAATTGTGCCTTGGATCATTATACATACAATATCATGATCAATATTTACGGTAAAAAAGGTTGGATCGAGGATGTGGTTGCAGTTCTTGGTGAGCTAAAGAAACATGAGTTGGAACCAGATTTGTGGAGCTATAATGCTTTGATAGAAGCTTATGGGATTGCAAGAATGGTTGAGGAAGCTGTGTATTTAGTAAAGGAAATGAGAGATAATGGGATTGAGCCTGATCAAGTAACATATGTCAATGTCATTCGGGCTCTTAAAAATAATGGCCATGTCCTAGAGGCGATCAAATGGTCGCTTTGGATGAAGCAGTTGGGACTCTCTAGCAGAAATAATTGATGTAATTTAGTAATTGATGTAATTCAACACTGGCATGAATATTCTTCCCAGAATTTGTAGTTTGGGAATTACGAGTTTGCTTTCCTTTCACCCTATTAGCCAGCACAAGTCGCACACAAAGTTGTCAAATATCTATCTTATTAAATGGCTTCAGAAAATATTCTATGAGATTTTCAATTTCAAAAAATGTATAGCTTTTCCTTAATACCGTGTTATTTTCTCGTTCTAATTTTCCTTTGAACTTTATCTTTTGAAAAGAAATTAGTTTTCTTAGGTGGAAATATGACTTTTATGAAAATACAGGTTTATGATAATGATTAGTTATGAAATGATTTACATTTAATGGAAACTAATGCTTTACCCTCCTTTATAATAATTATTATTATGAGTGTTAATTTATACAAGTTTTAAAAAAAGGATTTCCAAGATATTTGAGAAAAATTGACATATTTGGAAATTTTCCAGACAAATGCCCTTCGGAGATTCACAGGGCAAGATTCAGTACCATTCTTGCACATTCCTCCCATTGAGAAAGGTTCAGGGCACGTTTTTCCCATTGAGAAAGACAAATATTTTTGTGCAAATTCAAACTCATCTTTTTGGGTGAATTTTCACCCCTTTATTATTGTTCCTTTCGCGCCTTTTAAACTTGATCTCCTAATATTTTCTTAGATTTGAGAGGTGGAGAGCACATACACACAACTTCTCCCATTATAGTCTTTTGATGTGTTTGGCAAGGTGTATGGTGAGAATGAAGGTGTTGTTTAAGGAGATGGTGATAATGAACACGATGGTTAGGAGGCTGAACAGCATCCTGTCATCAACACCGTGTGGGGGTGAGCATAGAGAGCCATTGATTAGATCTTCTTATGCAATATGGCTTAGGTGTGATTTCTCTTTCATCACCTTGTTCATGGATGTTTGCTCATTGCTTTTCAATATACAAGTTTTAGTTTAGCTTTTGATGTACATACATGTTTGACATATGCTTAAATGTGTGTGATAAGGTTGGCCATTGCAGGTCTCTTTGATGATACTAATACACTATTTAAGGTTTAAGAATTCATCATTTTTAGAGTTGCACTTTGTCGAAGCCTCAGTGTATTTCTTTGGGAGACTTAGAATCATCCTTCCTCTTTGGTAGCTTGCAGTCACAGATGTTTGCGAACTTTTGGCCATGATTTAGAGTTTGAAATGGCACCCATGACTGGGTTCATTGCATAGCATGTACGAGCACCCCAAGATGGAGATGTTGGGAATTAGTGCTTCCTTGCTACCTGCCTCCACCAATGTGCAACTGAGACAATTTCCTTTATCTTCGCTTTCTAATTGTCCAAAATCTTCAAACAGTTAATTGATGAAAGCTTTTCTTTTCTTACTTTATCGCTAAATATTTTAACCATGAACATTGTGAATAAAAAACTGATAGTTAGGAGATATGCTCTCAGGGCTCTGTTCCTGTGAGTAGGTGGGACATGCAAATGCTCTCTGCTTAGACTGGTCATGCATGAACAAGAATGGCAAGAATGTTTGCCACTGTTTTTGTTGATCCATACATATCTCCCTCTTCTCCTAAGATGGCGATCATAAATAAGCCTTTTCTTCGTACATAATTCTTTTTTCGTGATTTAATTTAGAAGAAGTAACAATAACAAGCAATAGAGAATTTCTTCTAGAACTCACGGTGCTCTCCTATTTAGTAAAATGTGAAGTACAAAGTGTCCATGCTGCTGAAAAATGAGTCCAAACTTTTTATTAATGTTTAGCAAAAGAAAATAATCAAGAAATTCAAGAGAAATAAAAAGCCTCAGCCAAGCCTCAGCTAAACTTTCTCGAATGTACAACCATCTCCTATAGTTCATCCTCTTATTTGGCCAGTAAATCTGCCTTCCTAATTAATTCCCTGTGCAAATGGATAAAAGAAAAGGTGAGCCTCTGACAAACATCTCTCACTTGAAACCAGGAGATTTTCAGGCTCCAAGGCACCTGTTCTTCCATCGTTCACTGCTTAATCAGAATCTCCTTCAACTTCTATCACATGACCTAGCCTATGGCTCTTCTATAAAAATCAAACCACATTCTCATCTCAGCTTCATTAACTGTAGCAGTGCTATGCAGACCTAAGTAACTCATAACCACTCTTCCCAAATGATATGAACCAAGGCCCCAATGCTGGCCATTCCTGAGTCACCCTGAGAACTTCTGTCAAAATTAAACGAAAGAATACCTGCAGCTGGCGGTTTCCAACAGGCGATAGGCTCATATGTCAGCATTCAAAGGCATTATGGGAATCGGATCCGTTATGGGATAGCTGGGCGTTTCCAATAGGCAATAGACTCAGTGCAAGTGCTTACTAGAAAACCTATAAGCCTAGTGCTTCAAGAGGAAACACTACTTAAGAGGAGAAAATTGGAGTCAAACAATTATCTCAAGAAATGGAGGTCTTCTTTACTAATTATCGTAGGAGGTCTTGTGGTAGAAAAATAAATTGTGGATCAAGAAAGCCCAAAATGCAAAAAGATCCCTACAGCAACCTCACAATAATGAGCAAGGTGAGTCTTCTATAGGCCCAAATCAAAGAAAGGTTCCTGCTATACTTGTGGGAAAATCAGACATTGTTCCAAGTATTTTGGTATAAATAAGGAAAATATGTTTTTAAAGGCAAACAAAAAGGAGGAAAAAGAAGTTATGGGGATAAAATTAAAGAAGCAACTTCTATTAATAACGGGAATGGGAGCAAACACCAATGGTACAACATGTTCAAACCATATGACCCTAAAAAGCAATCTCTTCAGTACCAAAGAACCCTTGTTTAACATGCCCGGAGTCTTGACAGAGCATAATACTACTCAAGAAGTTTCAGGTAAAGAAAATATCACTACAAATTCCCAATGGAAATATTAAACACCTTATCAATGTTCTACAAACTTAAAAAAAATATTATGTCTATGGAACAATCGGTAGATCAAGGCTTTCATGTAATTATTGGCAAAAAAAGACTCTGAAATATGATCAAAATAAATTGGAAGGACTGTCGCTTGTAGAAAGAAAGTTGGTCCTTTATTTGCTATGAGCATGGATTTTCCCTCTATGAAGAGTTCTTCTATTAATATTACAGACTTCTAGCACAACAGTGTGGGGCGTTGCGATCTCCCTAGGTTAAAAGATATGACATGGAAGAAGCTAGTTACTAGGATGCTTATAATAGATTTTGATGGGAATCATATTTGTGAAGTATGTGCATTTGCAAAGGCTACAAGGCATCCATATATCCAATCATCCACCATAACAAGATATCCATTGTGAGATCATCTATAGTGATGTATGAGGCCCAAGTCCAGTTGAATCTCACAAGAGCATGAGTTATTATGTTGCTTTCAATATTCTAATTACACATGGATTTATTTTCTACGAAGTAAATATGAAGTATTTGGATACTTCAAAGAATTTAAAGCGCTTGATGAGAATAAAATCAAATAAAATCAATACAAGAATCAAGAAATTCAGTGACAAGTAATGGTGGAAAATCTGTGTAAGACAGATTTAATGATTTATTGAAAAAGAACGATGTTAAGAGGCAGCCAACATGTGTTGGGACACCTCAACAAAATAGGATTGTTGAAACGATAAATCGCCACATTGTGGAAATTGCTCGTGCAATGATGAATGGAAAGAAGATGTTTTAAGTATATTGGGCGGAAGCAATGCACACTAAAGTATACTTAAATCAAATAATATTTGGTGATGGAATAAAGGTGCCATATCAACTACTTTACAAGAAGAAACCATATATCACACATCTTCATGTTTTTCGATATATAGCCTACGTGAAGCACAATGACGAAGATCATGATAAACTCGATGCAAGGCCATCAATTGTATTTTCATTGGATATTCAATTGAAAGAAAATCATATTGATGCATAGATCCAGTAACCCACCACACCTATGAAAACAGAGACTTGAAGGTCGATGAGCAGGCACTAGGGCATAAAGCTACACCAAAAATTGAAGAAGAAGAGGAATCTTTATCACCCAAAGAAGATCCAAATTCTCCCTTAAAGCCGGCTACTACCTAACCATCAAAAGAGAAGGAAATTACTCCCTCAAGCTTGCAGACTTAAGAACAGGTCAAGCTATATCCAGAAAGGTATATGTATCTAGTTAAAAGGCTCAATGGACATTATGTCTGTATAAATGATACTGATAATAGACGAACATGATAAAAAAGCTTTGAAGAGCCAACATGCAAGCCAAAGTGGTAACAAACTATGGAAGAAGAGATGAATACAATTTTCAATAATCAAGCATATGATCTGGTTTCTCTTTCAGCGGCAAGAAAGTAAATTGTTGCAAGTGGATTTACAACATAAAATGTCAACCCAATAGTGAAATTAAGCATTATAAGGGCGGTTAATGGCTAAAACATTTTCTCAAACTTATAGGGAAGATTATGAAGAGACATTTAGCCCAATTGCAGAGATTACAAATGTTTGTGCAACCATTGCCTTGGCAGCAGCAAAAAGTTCGAAGCTTCATTAGTTGGGCATAAAAAATGCTTACTTAAAAGAAGAAGTTGACAAAGATGTGTATATGCATCAACCTGAAGGATATGAACATCTTATGAAGCCTCATTATATGTGCAAGTTAAAGAAGGCTCTATGTGGCTTAAAACAATCACCTAGAGCAGGGTTTGACAAAGAGAGTTCTTTCACTCACAAGGATTTATCTCTCTACGGTGGATTTCTACATAATCATCCAAATTTATCTTAAACACCTTATACATGTGGTCTAACTTGTTCCAGAATATGGTGATTTTGATTTGGATCCCCGTCTGATTTAAAACTTGCTTTTGCACTTTCGATCGAGAATCGTTGGGACCGGTTTTGTTGTCATTGGGACTTAGATATGACACCATTTTTTATTTTTTATTATTTTTCAATTTTTACTATTTACTTTTATAGGCTTGATTCAATCGACCGAATTGCCAATCTGGCGATCCATACCATTTTTCTGGAAGGGTGACCAAGGTCACGATCCATTTCTTTAATCACTTTAATGAACAAAACACCAATTCAAAGATTAAAAGCA